AAAAAAAAAATATATGGATCTGCACTCCTCCCCACCCCAATCCCCCCAATAAAATAGCAACTAGATATGTCTGCTATGTTCGTTTCCATTAAACAGGTGCTTATGGCGTGCCTACTATGTGCTAAGCATGCTGGAGATAAGGCAGGAATACAATTTAACTCCTTGGGGTTGGGGATTTGATTGATTGTGGTAAATGTTACTAAAATACAAGTTAGGGGTCTCTGAGAGCATGTTGTGGGCAGCCTTAACCAAGATTGAGGAAATATTTCCACTGAAGTACAAATGTGTTAGCAAAGTAAAATAGGGGCACTAGGGAAGGGTGGTGGTGGTGATTTCACGCAAAGGTTGAAGCTCTGAGGCCCAAAGGAGGGATCTTTCTTAAAAGGGCTGAAAGAAAGTCAGTTTGGTGAGCATGGAAGAGAAGACTTTAGGGTAGAGAAGTCTGAAATAGTGTTGTGCTAGACAGGGACCAAATCATAAATTTATGAGTAATGGACATTATCTTAAAAGCAATGGTAAACTATTCCAAGTATTTTAAGTGAAGGTGGCCTCAAGGAATGGGGAGAAATCTAACACCTGAAATTTATCTCCATTTTGAAAAGTCCGATATGCAAATTGGCATCTATCTTACATAAAGTGTAACAAGGCTGTCCACAACCATGTTTTCCTGATCTGTAACATTAATTTGTATTATTCAGTGTTAATTTAGGTCCTATCCAACTTTTCCACCCTCCAATTTCTGCATATCTCCTGTATATTTTGTGATGTTATTTGTGTTCAGGAAGATTCCTGGGGTTGCTGAAAGGAGAACACTATAGGATGCAGGAGCAAATGTGGGGAGCGCTGTTGCAGGGTTCCAGAAAAGCAAAAGGAGAGAGGAGAGACTGTGGCCAGTGAGGATGGAGAGCGAGTGCCAAGAAATACTTAGATTGACTCTACAGTGTTGGTCATGGATGACTCTATAGTGTTGGTCATGGATAACTGAATGGTAGGAATTAAAAACAATTCCAGAGTTTCTTGTGGGGCAAGTTGTTAGGTGGCAGTGCTAGCAACGAGAAGGGACTGAAAAAACAGCAAAAGAAGAATGACTTAAAATTTGTGAGACTGGTCAGTGGAAATGACAAGTTATTTGATTAGAATCAAATCTGGAGATCAGTGGTTGACAGTTAGCCAAAGTTATAGAAGTGGAAATAGTCCAAGAATATTGTAACATGAGAAAGAATGCTTAGCCCTGAGTTCAGAGGAAAACCAAAATATTTAGAGATTAGATAAAGGGAGCAACCCACAGAAATTCTGAGGAACCATCAGTGCCCTTGAGGCATCTAGAATACAATAGCTAGTATGTGCCTCAAGGGTTTCAATTTTGGTGTCACCTGCAGGTACAGGTCTTGCTGAGGCTGACCTAGAGAACAAAATGTCTACTGGATTTAGTGAAATGGAGCTCATTGGAGGTGCTTGTGAAGGTTCTTGTCTATAGTGGGGGCAGAAGCCATAATGGTTTGAGCAAATAGGAGGTAAGGAAAACCGAAGAATGGAACATTTTGAAAAGGTAGACTGGGAAGCAACCTCTCTAAACACGTGGAGAGAAAAATGAGGGGGAAATGAGGGCCAGGTTTATTTTTTTTAAAAAAAGATTTATTTATGCATACAAGAACTGGAAGACAGGCCAGAGGTATGGGGGTTGAGAGGACCCTCCAGAGACAGAGTGGGGAACAGAACAAGTAGATTGACTGAAATTCACTAAGGGGAGCAAAGGGTGAGACCGGAGAGGTTTGCTGTGCCATGTGAGTCAGCTCCCTGGCTGGGGTTCCAACTCTTGCTGCTGTGGCTACTGATGGCTTCATAGTGCTGAGACTACCTCTTGTGCCACCAGGGAGGACCCCAGATTTCTTTTGATGTAAGGAGCACCATGCAAAGGGCCAACGATTAAAACCAACAATAGCATTCATGGGTGGAGAAGGAATGGGAGTCAAGCATGTGTTGAGACTTCCTGTACAGGAAGGTGGATATCAATGCAGATGCCTCTCTGTGCATTTGTCTGGTGGCTTTACCTTCCTGGCAAGCCATCCGTTTGTGGGTGGACAGTGAAGATCTGAAAAATTTCAAAAGGGAAAGAAGATTACTGGCAACACTGACACCTCGTGAAGGCTAGAGAGGTATAAGCCCACCAGAAACCTGCCCTCTTGCTACCTGGATGCAGCAGCAGTGTTGGGTTCACCCAGGGTTGGTGTTTTGCCAGCCTGACGGGACAGCAGCTTTCAGGATCTTAAATTTAGCCTGCTGCTGTCTTCTCAGCCAGAGAACACCAGAATCAAGAGTGAAGTCTGGCAAAGTCCTGTCTACTGAATTTCAAGTGAGGGAGCACACTCCAGGGGAAATATGAGGGGCAAACTCTACAAGGTGTGTACCATCTCTAAGCTTTGGGATTTTGCTAGGGGAGTTTGAGGAAGCTCTACAGTTCTGGGTTGGATGCTGTTTCAGCAGGATCAGGAGGGCAGGGGCCACCTAGAGACTGGGTGCTGTCCTGAGGAAAGGGCAGGTTAGTAAGGTATCACCAGTAATGCATGGGGCTAGCGAAGCAGAGCTGAGGCCTTATTGGTAGCTAAGCAGTGATCAACAAGGAGAGGTCCTGAAGCACTTGACAGCTGCATGACCTTAAAGAAATTTCCTGCTACATTTTTTCAACTAGTTTTATCTGTGCTTGTTCTCTCAGCTCAATTAATGGCCAGGCTACCTTTTCCTTCTTCAGCTTAAGCTGACTTTCATTCCTTCAGTATTGGGCAGGTTTTTGATTTCATACTATGAATCCTTTCTCACCAAATAAAAAAAAAAAACACCACCTTTTAAAAGAATTTTTATTAGGAAAAGGATAGAGACTATATAGTCACAGGTGGCAGAGCTGTGTAACCGATTTTGTTAACAAGTCACTACACATTCATCTGTCTTCCCCAACATTTAATGAAAACCCTAATCACAGAATTGCACTGCTTTCTGAAAAAACCCAGTCTAGAGTGAAACTAGTTTCTTAGACCTTTTCCCCAAGTCATCCAAAGCCCCACTCTGTTAATAAGGTCAAACTCCCTCTTCCTGACACACACCCGTTTCCTATCTGCCTTACTACAAGTTCAAGTACATGTGTGTTCCTGGTAATCGTGGTAGGAAGGTCAGTGAACAACATAAAGTCGGCCTGAGTCTGACACAACTGCTAGGGTCAGACCAGACATGTGCTGGTAAAAGCAGGTTTGACGCTTTTGCCCTCGCACACTGGAGACATTTACTCCTAATCCTCACAAGGCATAGTGGCCCATTTCCCTTGAAGAAATGGCAGCCATACAGGCCAACAACAGTAGCCAATTGCCTTTCATCATGTGCTGCAGCAGTTTTAAAATCCGCCCACACATCCTTTGATGGCATTGTCTGACAATGGCTTCAGAGACTCACTTGGACCAAGAAACTAGTGGAAGTATGGCTGCCTGCAGCTTCTGAAAGCAGCTTCTTCCTGGGTCTCTTACAATGTCCCCTCAAAATCCAGCTGCCAAGTTTGAGATATCCAAACCACACGCAGATGGTTCTAGTCAAGTGAAAATTTCAAGGCCCTCCAGTCCAGTGACCAGCCATGTGAATGGAGAATCACAGCCGCCAGTTACTTGAATCACCTCCATTCTTAAGTTTCTCAGCTGTGGCCTCAAATATTACAGAATAGAAACAGACCGTCCTCCTTCGTGTGCCCAAATTCCTGAACCACTGAATCCATGAGCATAAGGGCCTCCCTGGTGGTGTAGGGGTCAATTCTCAAATATTATCAATCTATGAACTCTGCAGCCTGAGTTGGATCCCTAGCCAGGGAGGTGACCCACATGGCACAGCAGACCTCCATCTTGCCTGCTGCTCTCCTTAGTAGTGTATTTCAATAATTTGTCTATTCTGCTCCCCACTCTAGTGAACCTATTCAACACCCCCCACCCGTGCTACCTCTGTCCTACACCTCAGTTCTTTTATACATAAATAATAAACCTTTTTAAAAAAAATCATAAGCATAATAAAATCCTTATTGCTTAAAGACATTAAGTGGTTATATGAGCAGCACTAGTAACTAGAGCAGATACTGAGCCTCTTGGTAGCTGTTCTGAGTACAGCAGTGGTTGGTGACAACAAGCTAGTGGACAAAACTTGATGGTTATTCACAAAACATCTGCTAAAATTTAAAGTATTTTATTTAGGGCCTCCCTGGTGATGCAATGTGTTCAAGTGCATCGCTATGAAGCTATCTGCAGCCATTGCAGCATGAGTTCGATCCCCAGCCAGGGAGGTGACTCACATGTGCAGGAGACCTCTCTTGTCATGCCCTTAGTGGTGTGTTTCAGTCTATCTGCCTGTTCTGTTACCCACTCTGTCTCTGGTGAATCCTCTCACCTCCCCCCACACCTCTGACCGGAATCCCAGTTCTTGAATGCATAAATAAAAAATCTTAAAAAAAAATACACTTATTTAGCATATACTAGGCCTTCAGTCTAAAGCAGTTTCCTTTCCTTATACCCTCTTGCCCATATTCCCAAGATTTGCAGTGAGCTCAATTAAGATAATAACCACCATGTCATAGGAGCTGTTTTGAAAAATTCTATTACAATCTCAAATCTATTACAAAGGGAAGAATATGTATTCTTCCCTTTAACAAAAAGAAATCTAATAAAAGTTTTAATGTTTTAGATTTGCTAGTTTTTCTAACAGACTTATCTGTTACTAAACAGAATTATCTTCTAGTGTAGTTTTTCTGCTTTAAAACTTAACTTTATATGATGTCATGTAAAAGTGTTAAAACAGAATTTAATACCAGGATACAACTCCAAAAACTTAAGAGGAAACAAAACTATTTGAATTTTATTTTCAAAGTCTAACTTTAATCCAGACTGAACAAACAAGCAGAAAAGTGAGAAAGCTAATTGTAGCAGACACAGATGTACCAAATGTAAACAGTGGGTTATTAACAGAACTATTTACATGCATATTTACAACCAACCCTTTTGTATATAGTTTTAGTTAGTTGGAAAAAGATCGGACATTATGTAAAAATACTACTTAACTAGGGCAGAGGTGGTACCACATTATAGTAAAAGTATTAGAAAAGTGATCCTCAAGGTCTATCAATTATAAAGCAGATGAAAACTTGAGTGACAAAGATCTAGTAAAATTCTCTAGTAAAAAAGTCAATGCAACTCATGCTACAAAATAAAAATGAGAAAGCTATATAAATAAAGCAGAATAATGTTCTAGGCTTTAGGGTAATGAAGTTAGGTAAGAAGAAAACATTCTAAAATTGCATCAAGTCCTCAGTGGAGAACCTTACTTGAAAGTTCCAAATCTTTTTTTAAATGACATTTTTAAAAGCCCTTGGTATCAAATAGCATCTGGATATGGAAAACAGTGGTTAACAATATATTCTAAGACTTTAGCGCTAAAGATTTTCATGATTGTGATTCATATTTGAAACGCAATTCACTGAAACACTGAATGTCAAACTAAATGAAAGCTATTAATACTCATTTAAGAAAGGATAAAGGGTGCTACATTTTTTGCAGTTAATGTGTTTTTCCAGCCTACAACTTTTTCCTTTAAGAAAAGTAGAATTTAAAGGATAAGCTTCTAATCAGCTAGCAAAATTTACTTTCAACATTTCATTTATTTCAAAATTGACTTTATTGCAGCCAAAACAGTGGAATTAACTGTACATAATAAACTATTATATATATATACACATTAAGTTATAGGGAATAAAGTTTATTTTGGCAGATAGTGTTAAACAAAAATTAACGTTGTATACATTAGTAACATAACTCAACATCCTTAATTTGGTATATAAGTGTGACAAATTTTCTTGCTTTCCTGTGTTCTGCTAAACACCATAACCTAAACTGCTTTATAAAACCGATATGCTGAAATTCAGCTTTATTGTTTTCGCTTACGCTCTGATTCCAAACAAAACTTTTCATAAGCTTCTTCTATTTCTGGGTCCATCTCATCGTCAATATCATCCAAGTATCTGTGAAAGAAGATGACCAAACTTAATGTTTGAATTTAGAAAATTCTAAAATAGTAAGTCACGAAGAAAAGTATATGACATAACTTTTCTAGATTGTTGGAACAGAAGGCAAGCACTATTTAGAATTACATTAAATGTCAGTCCTCAGAAACCACTTATTTTGATAACCTAAGTGTTATACTGGATTCTGAGCTCCTTGTGTTTGAAGTCTCTTTTTGACATATTAAATTCTTCAACCTAAAAAGTTGATCAAAGACTTGACATAAATTTTAGGGCTCAAGACTGATATTTCAAAAATTTATCTTAAAAATACACTGTAATTAGAACATAACTTCAGATGCACCATTCACCTCTAATGATGCATTTTTAAATTATGTCTACATCAGAAGTGACATCTGTGCAATGACAATTTAGTTACCTTTTATTCATATGGAATCCAATTTTCATAATAAAGTACTTTTGAGACCATCTAATTCAGATTTTTTTCAACTGTTCAAAATGATGGAAAACAAATCTTTGTACAGTTAACTATAGGTGATTAGTGGCTTTCTGACTAAATTTCCGTAACTGTCACAAAAAGATAGGTACTTCTCCATTTTTGTTTAAGATTAAAAGCGACTGAGAGGTTATATAATTTTAAGATTTGGGTGTGACAGAGTCAGACTGACTCCTTACTACACTTTCCCACACAACATTATAGACTTCTACACATCTCCCCACCTTCCCATTAACACATTCCACCTAATCCTACCATTTTTTTCTCTTTGTTCCTCCACCATTTCTAGCACAAGGTCATGTGTTGACAAGGCAGCAACTTCATTTGGGTGAAAAAATGTGATGCTTACCAAGCAAAACTTTTCGAGAATAACCAGAAATTCAAGTCAGTAATGTGAACTTTCAATGGTCTACCCAACAGGGCTAAACCTTCCTACTTGGGCTTGGGTTCTTATTTGCATAACATTAAAGTATGGAAATACTGTACTAGATCTCTACTATCATTTAAAAATTCATTAAATCGGAGTTAGTGGATCAAAAAAAAAATTTTTTTTTTTTTTGACTTACAAAACAAGAGGAGGGACGTAAAAAAATTAAAGCCACAAATTTAATTTGCTCCCTGCCCTTCACAGGCTACTTAAAGAAAAACACTAAGTAGCTTGTCCAAATTCACAGAAATTGCTAACAGAGCTGGGATGAAACTTCACAAGTTCTTGGTTTTTCTATAACAAAACGTAGCACAATCTGATAGTAAACTAGTTAATTTGGCAGGTAAAGAATCTGAGATGAGAGTAGAATGTACATTTTTCTTTAAATTCAAACATTTTTATATAGTAGTCTGCTTGCTTTTAACTTAATTTATCCTTCACAGTTTAGTTTTGAGCCTTTTATGATATGCCAGGGCTGATCTATGTGCCAAAAGGCTGATCTAAGTATTTATGTATTTAGTATGTAACTTAACAGATATTATTCCTATTTTATAGATGGTAGAACAGACATTAATGACCTTACTACTAGTGCTACTTAATTTTAAATCTCAGGGATAATAATAGATGATTTTATAAAGGTTAATTATAATTATATATACTATATGTTAATACTGTCCCCATAAACTTTGTATAAATTTTCAGAATCATACTTTGTGCATTATTCATGCTTTCTGGAAACTCTTAAGCTAGTTAGTACTACATAATTTTTATGTAGTAAGCAGCGAGTAAGTACACTACTAACACTATAAAATCAAAATACATTCTTTAACCTCACTTTTTCTAGCTTAAACTCCATCTACAAGCTTGTGGGTGCAAAAATTTCACAAAGAAATTCATTGGTAAAGAGAACTTACGGATCACCAGCCCCTGATAAATCTGTTCCATTTTCCTCATAATCTGGAAAAAAATCTTCTCTTTCAAGTAATTCCTGGTATTTCTCTTGGTAATCTATTAAAAAAGAATGCAAACGCTAACTATTAACAAATGACTAGTTGTCCCTAAAAAATTTTTTCGTACTATGACATTTCATTTAAGCAGACCCAATGTTTAAACAGCAGATAGCTTTTCAAAATTCACATTCTAATTGGCCTGCAAACTCATCAATAAGTTGGTAATTGCAGTCACTGTGAATACAGCAGAGTACATGTCATAGCTGATGTGCCCGCTACTTACAGTCTCTATTGCTTCTGTCCATCAGACTAAATACTGGCTATATAACTTGTTAAAAAAAAAGTAAGATTTTTACGAAAAAGGTAGAATAGCAGTAAGGAAACTAAGTCACAGAAAGCTCATACAAGGTAGACCCATTCATTTACATTAAAATTTAAAGCTTCTATATGACAAGACAACAAAATAAATGCTAAGAGCACCTACTAGAGCAGCTGACTCAGGGTCACTTTCTAGACTATGTAAAGAGGTAAAAATCAAAGAAATAATCCAACAGAAATATGGGCAAAGAGGACAAACTGGTGAAATAAAAATCAATAGAAACATGAATATTTTGAAAGTATCATTAGTAGGGAAATAAAAGCTTACAATTTTGTTCATTCAGGCTGATAAGAAAAAAAAAAGATCTGATGACAGGAATGTCCCAAGAACAGGAAGAAGAAATCTTACAACCAGCTAGTGGACTATTAAGTGGTATCATACAGATACACAAAGCCTAGAATGCAACAATTTTACTTCCTTTAACTCCTGCCATCTTAAACTCAAAGATGCTTAACTACTTAAACATATCTGTGTAGCTTAGTCTATGGTAACCTGTGTGAGCTACCCACTGTTCCTAAGTAGGAGATAAACTTTGACTTGCTATGGCAATATTCAGCATTTGAGATATGGAATTCATTACAAGTATCTCAATGTAGTAAGCACAAAAAATAATCCCCATTGTTTACAGGCATATATGAATTCATGTATAAAAATCACATTGACACAAACCCTACATCAACATACTAATTACCTCTGGGAGGGAAGTGATGGAAGGACCAGATGTGGCGGAGAGGGGTCAATTACAGAACAGAGAATGTTCATGAGAATCTCTCAGAGTTATTCCAGTAAGTTGGGTATAGTCTGTACTATTGGGAAACATCTTTCTTGCTCACACTGCAAGAGACTATTACAACTAAAGGGATCCCTGTATATCATCCTTTTCTGAAGAGGAAATGTGGAGAAATTTAGATTTTAGTTCACTTAGGCCCACCAAGTATTAATCAGATTCATAATTCTTAGGGTTTGCAAGTATTAACCCACATTAATAGGTGGTTCCATTCTAACCACCTAAAAATTCATCATGTAAAAAGAAGGCATTAGGGAAAATACAAAATAAAAATGCAGATAGTTTGTTAGAGTAAGAACTGTATGAGTCAAGACTTTCCAGAATGGTTCCAAGTGTCAATATGATAACTTGAGACAAACCTTTATATTTTAGAATATGAACTTTAAAAAAAAAAAGTAACAACTTTGTGCTAGCAAATATACCGTTTTCTGAAACTTACTATCTTACCAAAACTAAGGGTGGGAGGGAAATAGCATACCTGGATCAGCTGCAGTGAAAGGAACACCATCAGATGTATAAAATGTTGGTTCATTCTAGGATGGAATCAAAGTGAAAAAGTATATAAACATTTCAGAGTTTAGTTTTTAAAACATTATTTAAAGACACATGGCTGATGTCATGTCTATAACTGGAAACGTAAAAATTAACCAGGAAAAACAAAAACAAACCAAAAAACCCTACCAACTATCACCTAAGCTAATTTTAACTATCCTTTTCATAGGAAAGTCTATGGTTTCCGGTTTCAATTCTGCTATTTCAAGTTCTCCCAGTTTTAACCTTGCTGTCTATGGCCTGTCCCATAGATAGCATCTATGCATGTTTATTTAATGTCCATTCATTTTTAGCTGAGGTTCCCTCTCTCCACTATTATCTTTGAGAACTTCCAGGACTGGAGCTGCACAGAAGCATTCTTCCATAGTTGCTTTATGTTTGTGATGTCAGGAGCTTCAGGATATTAACTTGTCTGGTAACGATTTTTATTTTTTTAATTTGCTACAATATACAAAGTGAAAATTTGAGATGCAGGTAATTAGTTATGAATTCTCTGGCAAACTGCTTGTAATTCCTACACTCACCAGAATACAAGCCGTAGCAATTTCCCTTGCCATTGGGTGGATTTTTCTGTAGTCCAGTATTTCACTGAGGATTCATCTCTTCTATTTACCTGATTGCTAGCTGACATGTGATCCTTGCCCAGGAAAAGTTTTATTAGTAATTAAATTCTGAGAACAACTTATTGCGACTCATTCTAGAAATTTCTGAAACTGGAATTCAAGCATTAAGCAAAACTTAAAATGCAGGGCCCTCCCTGGTGGCGCAAGCGGGTTAAGGCACAGCACTAAAAGGCAAAACCCACTGCAGCATGAGTTCGATCCCTGCCCCGGAGGTGACCCACATAGCGCGGCAGACCTCTCCTGGCCGCCTGCTGCTAGCCCTCAGCGGTGTACTTGTCAGTTGGCCTACTCTGCTCCCCACTCTGTCTCTGGTGAAGCCTCTCACTGCCCCTGCACCTCTGCCCTGTACCCCAGTTCTGTATGTATAAATAAATCTTAAAAAAAAAAAATCCTATTAAAAAAAAAACAACAACTTAAAATGCAAACATTGACATACCATAAAATAATTGGGATCATTTTCAGGTGTTGCTTCTCTGTAAGTTGAGGTGGCATGAACTCTACCCCAATTACTTGAACGGAGTTCTACAAGCTTCAATAGCATCTGCTTTACATCTCTGCAGACAAAAGTAAAAAATTAGTTAAGAGCTTCTCTGGTGGCCCAGGGGTTAAGTCTCAGTGCTATCATCACTACAGCCTGAGTTCCATCTCCAGCCAGGGAGCTGACCCACATGCTCCCCCCAGCATTGTATTTCAATAAATCTGCCTGTTCAGCTCCCCACTGTCTCTAGTGAATCCTCACCCCCCCCATACCTGACTGTTCCATGCATAAATACTAAGTAAATCTTAATCAGTTGAAGTATATCTATCATAAATGTTGTCAGGCTCTAATATATTTCACATATGTTAACTTTATTTCTTAAATTCAACAGGCATGCCCAAACCTTAGATTTTCTAACTCATTTCCTATAATAATAATAATAAAAAAGAAATCTTGAAATTTATTCCATATAACTGCTGTATTATCCTTAAATAAGGCAGTGGCTCTCTTGGCAAATATTTTTATGCCTTCTACTGAACTGAACATACATTAAACATCTGTTGAACAATATCTGAGGTCTGATCATTTTTCTTTTTAATAAACTGATATTTTACCACAGGAAAAGCTTCACTTGCTCAATTCATAAATGTAACTGAATAGAAATGATTAGTAAGCAAAAGTCATGAATAATATACCTTCCAAAAAATATTTCTGTAGATCTTTAAAATTTTAATTTTTTTGATCAGGGACATAAGATTAAAAAACCCCGAGGTGGGGGGGGATTTCATCTATTGGCTAGCCTCATTTTTCCATACCTGCTGCAATTTGCATCTAGGACAACATTTTCAATTCTCTGAATAATTTCTTCCATATCATTCTTTCCTTTCTCCTTCCAGGCATCTTCTAAAACTGACCCTGTCAACTAAAAAAGCAAGCATCAGTGAAACAAATTCAATACAATAAAGTATGGAAATTCCAAAAATATATTAGTAACAACTTATGCATTCTTGAACAAGATATTTAACAAGTTCAATATTTCCAGTTATTCTCTGCCATCTAAACATTTAGGGTTCTCTATACCCTGTCTGTTTTCTTGACTGAGACAACTATAACAGAACTTTAACCAGAGATCTTATTTATCAATAACTATATGGTCTAATTCCTAGTATTACCAAGGCACTGATATTGATATACAGATGTTTCAGATGCTCAACACAAATTTGTTATCTGTATATCTGCACAATTATCACTACCGTTAAGTCTCATTAAACCCACCACCTCTCAAAGAGATCTATATATTTTTTCATCTTGTGGTGAATTTTAAGATCTACTTTCCCACAACTTTTAAATATATAAACAGTACTGCTAACTTGTCACCATACTGTACTTTACATCCCCTTGCCATTTTATAACAGAAAGCTGGTACCTTTTAGTCGTCTTCACCTATTTCACTTATTGCTCATGACCCACCTATGGCAACTGCCAATATGTTTTCCACATTATGAGTTTGGTTTGGGGACCTTTTTTTATTAAAAAAAAAAAAAAAAAAAAAAAGTTCTACCTACTGTGAGATCAGAGTATTTGTCTTTCTTTGACTTAATTCACTTAGCATAATGACCTCAAGGTCCACCCATGTTGTTATAAACAGCAGGAATTCTTTTTATGGCTAAATAACATTTCTTTGGGTACAGTCACGTGTTGCATTCAGTTGGTAATGCACTGCATATTGACAATTGTGCCAGCAGGCTATGCCACACACCCAGGTGTGTAGGAGGTGGCTGTACCATTTAGCTTGGTTTAATTATGCTGTGGGATGTTTACATGACAAGATCTAACAAGCATTTTCCAGGACACTTCCTCAACTGGACATGACTATATTTTTTCTCTATCCATTTAGTCATCAATAAATATTTACTTTCTTTCCACATCTTGGCTATTCAAAAGCATTATCACTGTTTGAAATGCATAAAAAATATAAGAAATTTTCAATAAAAAATATAAATAATATCAGGAAAAAGTTAAGGATATAAACAGGTAAATGACAGAAACCAATAAAAGGAAGCTTAATAACCATGAAGAAAAGCTTAAATTTATTAGTGGTCAAGAAAATACAAAATAAAAATGATATGTATTTATTTTTTACTTATTACTTATGACAAACAAAAACCAAAAATCATGCCCATCATGAGAAGGTATACTTTACATGCACATGTGAGAACAGTCCTAATTCAGCATTTGAAAGGGAAAATTTGACATTAGGTATTATCACATTTACAATTATTAACTCACCACATTTAAATGCAGAAATTTAGCTTACAGAAACTGCATATATAAAGAAATGAGGACTACTGACTGCTGCAGTGGCTAAACTGATAACCCACTGTTAAGAATGGATTAAACAATGTACATGTATAGAGTGGAACATTAGGAAGCTAACAAAGAAAGAGGTCACTCTGTGTAAGTAGTAAACAAAAGAAAGCTACAGTAGAGTAAAATCTTAACACACCACGCAGAAAAGGAAGGAGGGAATGGATCAATGGAGGTGAAATGAGGGATTTCATTTTTTCACTTCTAAATTTTACTTAAATACATATAATGTTTCTTAATATATAATGCTTTTCTAATGTTTAAACCTGTGAGCAAGATAAAATATCAATTTTTAACTTAAAGTAGTAACTTAATTTTTAATTCACTTGTACTACACAAACTTTTCTCTAAAATACACAATTAACAAGGTAAAATGATAAAATATTAAGGAAAACAAAAAGTAAAACCTACCTTCAGTAATTTTACTGCACAAATTAAATTGTCATCCATAGGATTAGAAAAAAGGGCATTCAGCAACTCCCGAAGACCAACCTGAAGAATATCTGCTCTTGTAACCTGTCCATTTGTTCCCTTGATCTTTTGGGACAAAAGAAAATTAGAAGCAACTGTGCCAAAATATAATACGTAGACACACACACACACATACACACATATATAGGTCGACAAGTGTTTTAATAGTACAAAAATAGGAACACACTCTCGTATCTCCAGAAAGTTAGAATTAGTTACATGTAACTAAGGTCTACAATAAAACTAGTAAACTGTAAGTTAAATTTAATTTTCATTTGTGACATATAACATACGGTAAGGATATTTAAGCCTAATTTAATGTTATCATTTTCCGGTCTTCTAAGCTACTGCTTTCCCAGGTACACAAAGCATTTTATACTACTCATATACTGTTTAAAAAACAAAACAAAACACAAAACATTACTTTGCATTAGAATGATGCATATATATCTCAACAAATAGAAGAATTTGAGGCTCAGGGGCATGTCATATCTTTATATGTCCTGTAGACATAGCAGCTTATTTCCACAATGGAAACGTTCAATAACATTCTTAAAATGACTTTAAGCGTATTTTAGAATGGTGTTCTAACTTTGGATTAAAAATAAATGGCATGAGATTTTTTTTTTAAGATTTGTTCATACAGAACTGGGGTACAGGCCAGAGATGTAGAGGGTGAGAGGATTCACCAGAGGCAGAGTGGGGAGCACAACAGGCAGATCGACAAAGTACACTGCTGAGGGGAGCAGCAGGCGGACCAGGAGAGGTCTGCGGCGCCATGTGGTCACCTCCGGGGCAGGTGGGGATCGAACTCATGTGGAAGTGGCTTTAGTTTCTCAGTGCAGTGCTTTAACCCGCTGTGCCACCAGGGAGGACCCGGCATGAGATTTTTTTTAAAAATTACAAACATGTGCATTAAAAAGAGATAATGAATTAGGCATTAGATTCACACAGACAACTTAATGATGCAGTGACATGCACATGATAAATTCTTACATCTTTTCGGTGGCATTTATGAATACTAAGTCCTCAAATCAGGATTTAAAGTATAACCTGGGCCTCCCTGGTGGCATGAGGGGTTAATTCTCAGCACTATTAAGCTATTGCCAGCCAGGTCTTCCATCCCTGCCAGAGACCCACAAGGTGCAGCAGACCACTATCTCACCTGCTGCTCCCCTCAGCAGTGCATTTCAGTAGATCTGCCGCTTCTGCTCCTCACAATGTCTCTGGTGAACCCTTTCATCCCCCTGCACCTTGGGCCTATACCTAAGCTCTTTGTACATAAATATAAAATTAAATCTTAAAAAAGCAGATAAATTCTTTATATAGTACTCTTCCATTAGACAATATTTAACTTACAAGCCTATTTTCAAGAATATGATCAATTTATAAACATGTTTGCAGTCGACTGTAAACAAATGCATTTATGTGAAAATCTGATGAAGTGTTTCTCAAAAGGTATTAATGCCAGTCTATACTTCCAACTCCCTGCCTAGCATGAACAGGATAAACAGATGTCCTACAGGTTTCATTACAGTGTAGACATTAGTATTTTTTTTTTCTTCCACTTCATCTAATGCTTTAAAGGTATTTAATGTAAACAAGAGTTCCTTACTAAAATCAGTTAACATTCTCAGACTTTATGAGGTCTCAACAAAAGTAATTTTTTTCCTCACCTCCAGATTAAGATAAAGTTCTCCCAGAAACAGTACAAATGCATGGAATCGTTTTCGAGTCACTTCATCCCCTTTTGCAGCTTGGTCTTTAACTTCATATTCTGTCCGACATCTAATAAAGACATACCTTTTACAATCTCACATTGCTTTTTTTTTTTTAATAGTCAAACAAGATGACTACCTGTCAGTTGTTCACAAACAATAAAGAAACAAGTACAACACATCAACACCCTATCATAAAATGTATTCTGTCAATTGCAGAGACCAAAATATCTACTGTCTTTTCATACTATGATTTCTTGTTTCAAGAAACTCGTTTTATTTCCAAGTCTTCCTATAAGGTCAAGTTCATAATACATTTAAACAGAGGTTTCATGAGGTTCACAGTATACTGGCACCTAAAAAGAAAAATGCCTCACCTTATTCTCTTACAGGCACTTTTCAGAAAGCACTATTTTTACTCAAACTGTTTTTGTACTATGTTTGACTCTAAATAACAAGGTTTAAAACAATTTTAGAAGTTCTACTTTTTTCTGAATATAAGAACTTTGAAACAAATCTATAAAGTAGATGGCCCGCCAAGTAAGTTGGAAAGTAAAATGAATTAATTCCATTACTCCCCTTATAATTCCCATAAAACAAATCAGAAACGAATATAAAAGTTCCTAAAAGAAACAACAAGCAACTAATTTGGCCTGTATTTCTGGTGGAAAATGAAGGAATTAGATAACTTATTTCCCCCAACCAGGCCCACGTGCCTTATACAAAACGAAGAAATCTCTCAATCTCAGGCCATAGTGCCAAAACTCACAAGAAATCTATCAGTGCCTGTCAGCAAATTGTGGTATCAGCTACTGTTACTAAATTAATTTTTAAAATATATTTTAAACATTTATCATTCTGTTGTTAAGTATTTTGTCATCTTTATATTGATAAGATGGTGGGAAAAGTAATTTGTTTTATAACTGATTTTGACACTTTCTTTTAAAGATAAAGGGAGGAGTTTATAGAGATTGAATGGCTTCCAAGTATCAGTGGTCACTATAGGCTGGCTATTAAAGAGTTTTTTTTTTAAACAAACAAAAAACTTAGAAGATTTTTACCTTCAGATTTGTGAATCAATCATAAAACCAGTATGTATTTTGTGTCTATGTTGTAAATGCCCATGATTATAAGTTTTACTAGAAGAGCAACATCTTCTGTTTAAGTCAGATACACTAAGATATTTGTTTCCTTATCATTCACATTAATTCCTCCTTAGAAAAAAAGCCAGGATTTCTATAAATAGAACAGTCTGGTTAATAATGGAAAAGATCAGTTAAAGCCAATTCAGCTCTCCAACTATCTTGCTGGACTGCTCTCCTTTCTCAGCTCTTTCTTCTATAAGACTGCAAGCAAGAGATGATAAAATAACCATTTTTGTATACCACATTAAAAACTTATGCTAAGATAAGTTAATATATGTGTAAAAGTAAATCCCTATGCCTACAAATGGCTATTATCTAGGTGAATGTAAAGACCTTAAGCCTTTTAAATGAAAAAGTTTCAATTATAAAGCAATATTCTTATTTTACAAGGTTAAAACAGAAAAATAAAGAACAAAGTCACTGTGACCCAAAGATAACTGCTGCAACAGTGACTTCCGTCTTCTTTCAGAGTATGCATTTATTTTTAAGTTACATAGTAGAATTATACCCTAATTTTCATTTGTTTTATCACTGGCATTTCTTCACATTAAGATCTCTAGCAGTATCCTAGTAGTTCCTATAGAAGTACACATAAAGGCAAAGAGCTAAGAACAGTGAAAAAGTGTTCTCAACCATGTTTACACAGGGAACTCTAAACCATACCTACTTTAGGAAACTTTAAAAAAACATACCCAGGCTCTACTTCAGTCTAACGACATCAGGATTTCTAAGGTCAGGGGCACAGCCTCAGCCCTGTTCTAAGTTTCTAGGTAAGGCACAGCCAGAACTAAGTAACACAGAGGAGGCAAGAAAGCCTTTGTCACCCTTCCTCCTAGAAATGCCTCCTTTACATCTTTCACAAAGCTACAATTTGCATTTTTTTAATTATAGGCAAGGTCAGATACTTGATCATTTATATTTTTCCGAAGTATATACTGAGCTATTCCAAAAATTTCCATTAAAATGCTGGGGTTTTTTTGCACTCATTTCTAAGAGATCCTCTCCATATTAAGGTCACTGCCATCCATGTGTCACAAATGTCCCTATTGTTTGCTTCATAAATTCATGACCTAAGGTAATATAACCTATATATAATAAAGTTTAATCTCATTTTAGTGCATGTGGTTATCATGTCTTGCTTAAAAAACTAAAAATTAATGTTTGTCAATTTCCCCCTAGTATTTACTGTTTGCTATATCTGGAAAATATTCTAATTTAAAGGGTGAAAGAGGAACCCATCTTTGTTTTTCTGCCTGAATAGTCAACTGTGTCCGAACAGTTTATCTTTTACATGTGTATCTTAAGTATTATCACCAAAAGGTTAGTTTTCAAGTGTCTCTGTAGTCTACTTTTAGAATCTTTACATTCTATTCCAGTGCAGTTTAACAATACAATGAAATTTTTTGCCAGCATTAAAGTATCTTTATAGAATTAATACGCAAACTACAACAAATGTGAAGACAGCCTTGTTACTGAATATGACAACCTAAATTATAAAGTTTCCATAAATTAGTTTATGAACTCAATGTAATTACCCAAATATCAAATAAATGAGCTTTGTGTAATTTCACATTGATTTTAAAGTTCATTAGAGAAAACAAGCATGCAAAGAAAATTCTGCAAAAAATAAAGCACTAATTAGACATTAACAAATTACAACCTTTTTAATAGTATGACAATAAAACAGGAGAAGAACAAGTGATGAATAGAACATCATGAAAGTTGAGAAACAAACCCAAATATCAAGGATGTAGAGCGATAAAATGTGGCAGTTCAGATAAATAAGAAAATGAATCACTGAAAAAAGGGATATGGAACAAACTGTTTAACAAGTGGTAATGAATGAAATTAGATCCTTATTCAAGAGTACAGGTACTGAGAAAACATAAGGGATCATTTTTTAAGATATTAAGAAAGAAAAGAACTTTCTAAGAACCAAACCAAAGACAGAGTCTTCTATAGAACAAAAAGACTGATACATATGACTATAAATCTTTAATACTGTACATAAGTAAAAATGGTCTACTCCAATTCTTCCGTAACTTTCTGTAATGTACAGTTTTTAAAGAGTAGTGGTCAAATTCTAGTAGTTTTCTTTTAATCATATTCACACTGACCTTTGAAGTAGCAATTGGCGGAAGTTGCCACTCTGTGGGCTAATTGTCAGATGATGGGACAGGTAATTACACAGGCGAGCTCCCATATAAGAGAAATTTGGGATAGACGTGGCCTTTCAAGAAGAAAAAAGTTTTGTATGACACAGATAGATCAAGTTATTTAATACAAACACTTAAAAGTAACATTTCTGTCCCAAAATGGATCATATTAAACAGAAAAATGTAGAAGTCTTTTGTAACTGGTTAGGCATCCGGAAATCAGGTTTACTGTCTCCCAACTTTACACCAAGAACCGGATCAAGTATAAAGAAAATGTTTAAAACAGCTTCACCTCATGTATGTGAGATTATCAGAAAGCAAACAATCTCTATACTAACCCATTTTTGCACAAAATATGTACAAATATCCAGTTGCATGGTGCCATTTACAGATAAGAATAACTGCTATCGATCAGTGGGATGTCTCAGGGACAGGACAGCACAGGCTTTGGCATCTAGCAGTCCAGAACACGATTCTCAGGGCTTCTGTTTTGTGACCTTGGATATCATTACACTTCTCTGAGTTTCAATTTACTGATTCCTAAAGAAGTTATAGTGGTACCTGGTAGAAGAGATTAATACTTAAGGAACACTCCAAAAGTGCTTGGGGTAAAGAGGAGATCTTAACAGAGAAATTATTTTAAAAACTAAGACAGTGTGAATACACTACACATTAAAGACGATGTGATATATAGCTGTAGCAATACTCGGAGTCTTACTTTCAATTTTTAAATAGTAGTAAACAGCTACTAATTCACTACCTAATTTTAGGTAAGAAAAATCCACATTAAGAGGTCAAGGGACAAGGTCACATAAGTAGTTAGTCAGCATATCTAACAAATGACCCGAGGGCCCTCTAATTCCTTATTAATCTACTTATTAGGTATGGCAACCTTACAAAAGTCACTTAACCTGCTAAAGATATGTGTAAAAGGGTGACAGTTCCTTGCTACAAACTGAGGCTTAGATGAGTTAACCATGTGTCAAGTGTGCAGCACCACCTGGCATGTGATGCTATCCAAATTCTTTTTTCCCTAATTATTTTGTTGAGCAGGCAGGACCCTGCACCATTTCTTATCACAAGAGAAAGAATGGCTGTTCCTCTACGTAGCTGGTACCACAAAAGATATTAGATTAAAAACTATACTTCTTCCATTTGTGTTCTTTAATTTAAAGTTAGTTTAGTTATTTAAAGAAGTTCTACGAGGCTTGTTATCAAAGTTTCCTACTTTCCTACTATAACACAGTTTTATTCCTAATAATAGCCACTTTAAATTCTTTCAGCCAAAGAAGTTTTAACCACTAAATCTCCAGAAGTAATTGTTCAGTTTAGACATTAACTTCCACTGGTTTTCCACCGTGGAAGATGAACAGTTAGTTTCTACCCTGCTTACACACCATCAATTCCACTATTTTCCAATCTTTCCAGCTACCAATATAGCTGTATCATGACTTTATCACTTGTTTTCATTTACAGTTCAACCATGTATCATACCAAGTTTTCCTTCTCTGCACAACTTTTTTTTTAACCTCATTTTTGTGTCTTTTATATACTTCTGTTATTTATCCCTAAACCACCTAGTGTGAGTTATTGTGAGAAAATGAAGAAACACATTATTTTCACCTTCCCTGGAGCCTTGTGTCCTGCTCCAGTACAGCCTGGCAGCTCTAACACTGCTGCATGTGTAGCTACTGACTTTGGCTCTCCTTTCACTATTATTTGTATGATACACTTGCTTCTCCTATAAAATTTCCTTTTTTTAGTTGCCAAGTTCTTACCTCATTTCTCCTTCAAAACCTTGGAAAGGCAAAACTTTAAACTGGCAACTCAGTGCAAAAAAGATCAAGAGGGTCTAAATTTTCACATTTTCAGTCTAAGCCTCATTCCATCCTTACCCTAAGGTGTTTTTGAAATCTTGCTGTAAATTGAAGCAATTCTTTAGCTTTCTTTACTGGCTTAGAATTTTTTAATATCTGCTAAGTCAGTTAACACCCCATTTTCTTTCTAGTCTGAAAACTGGAAACTTTATTTCCTTTCCACTCTCTGGGCTCCTGGCTTCTAAAAACCCTTAAGACTGCCAATTTAGTGGCATTTGGAGAGCAAACAAATGTAAATGTGTTTCTGTCATCTTTTATGATAGGTCTGTAGTTAGCTGTCCTGAGTATGTTTCTATAAATTCCCTCAATGAAGCTTAAAAGCTGTTGGCATATCTGCTTATTATCACCAACCACAGAATGCTGAAACTTTGAATAACACTAAGTTCACATTGAAGAATTAACTTTCTATCAAAGAATTTATTGCTTTTTGCCAGCTTGCAGCTCTTCTGTTTAGCCCTGAGGAAATACAATCTTGCAGTCTTTTGAAGAACTGAAACTAAAACCAGAAAAGTGGTTTATTTTTTTCCATTCTGCTGTTTTATTCATATTCCTTCTTTAAATTCACTTTGAGGTTGAACGTTATCAGGACAAATAGAACATTTACCTTGCTAAAAACCCAAGAGTTATCAACACTAGAGTCCTAGACTCAATGCAGAACTTAGAAAAGCAGTCAAGTGAAACATTAAGCAAGATAAAATGATCAGCACACTATCAAAATCATGCTCCCATATACTCCAAGTTTCAGCTGCTCTTTCAGCCAACAACTTAAGAACACTACAGTTTATATTTCTGTTAACCTGCTGTTCTTGTTTTGGGCACTCATACATTGATTTTAAATTTGCCCTCAAATTCAGTGTTGTCTACATATTTTTTACCTCTCCTACTCCAATAAACAGTACATAATTCAAGATGCAGGAGTAAAAGAATCGCAGTCATTTTTGTATATTGCTAATTTCAGATCCTATAAAATCTGGGGGTTAGGTGGAAAAAAGGTGTGACACTTATCTACATAAGTGGGCTTCCTCATAAATGCCCAATGCTCATTCTAATTGCCTAAAGTCTTGGTTACACAGGTGAGTTCTGCAGTCTGGCTTCAGCCCTAGATCCCAAGAGCTAAAAGAATTTATGTAAGAAGGACTTAGCAGCACCCATGAACCATAAAGAGTTGTCGAGACAGGTCAACATGAGCCTGGTCTCCCTTGAGGAACAGCTACAACTCCTGGATTTGTAGGAAGCTATCTGATGAAGGCCATGACATCAGTCAATCACCTACCTGTTGATAGATAAGTTCTACAAGTTCTTGCAAAGCATCATCTGTTGTAACCCAACCATTCAGGGTCTCCGCAAACTGCTCAATTTCAGTTTCAAAACTGCCAGGCTGCTCTGTAAGATGATTCAAAAAATCCTGAACATATTCTGATAGAGTGGGATAATCCTCACAACCATCCTCATAGGATTCCTATAAATAAGAGGTTAAAAAAATTTATTTTTTAATCCATGCAACTGGTTAAAACAAACATGAAGCAACTCGAATGACTATCATTAATTTTTTTGACTATCAATTTTAATAAAGTTAAATCCACTAAGCTATGCTCCTATGCCCAATAACCAGATGTTATATTGTAATGTAACTGAATACTCCGTGGAGGACGATCAGTAGGAAATGGCTAAGAAAATGTCCTTTCTTCCCTGTAAATTTACAAGAAAGCTGAAAAATAGCTTAAATAGTATTTTTCTATAAAGACAGTCAAAATGAAAGTTTTGATCTCTTTATGAAGGCAGTAAAATCTAGGATTTACTTCAAAATGGGAGAGGAGAAGAGCAAGAGATATGGAAACAAGAATGGTCACAGGCAATTTAACTGTTGAGGCCATGGGGATTCATTATATCATTCTCTATAGTCTTGACAATTTCTATTACGAATAGAAAAAAAAGTGATAAAAAATTTATGTCTACCTGTTAATCCCAAGGACAGAAAAATAGATTTAAGTAACTGCAAAATATCACCATAATGTATAGTGCCAGACTTTTTGGATACATCGATTTCCAGCCAACTTCGGTAGTAGAATTTTCCAGCTAATGCCTCCACCACTTGTACATTTGGTAGGAGGGTGAAGGTAGCAGAGTTTCAACCCTTGTGTTAACAGTACCTAGAATGCCACCCAAAGCATTTTAAAGTTACTTTAATTACTATATTCCTTGATGAAATTTACCTTTTCCCAAAGGAATGAAATGAGAAACCACATGAAAGAATTATGATCATAGCCTAGAAATAAAGGGAAAAAAGATACCTATTCAAAATTTACCTTAGGAAAGCTCCACACTGGAAAAAAAGACTAACAGCCACTTGTTCCTTCACCGTTTGTGTTAACTATTTCTTCAGATTCAGATTTAGAGGTCATACTCATAGTTTTTATTTATCTCTAAACACAACAGTGATAGTAGCATGCCAAGTGTCGTGTACTACTGAGTGGCACTCAGGAAATAAGGTCAGCTATGGGAATAACAGATTAATATGCCCATAACATGCTCATATAGTGTTCACTGAACAGAAGAACAGATAATTCTTATACATCAATTGCTTGATCACACAACTGAATCCAAGTTAAATGACTCTACTGTAAAGTAAAGAAGGTCCCAGGGTTGACAAAATACAAATAATTAGCTAGAAAAATAGCTGTGTGACTAAGGATTAAATGAGTTAATCAGTAAATGCCCCCAGACTGGTGACTAAAACAAAGTTAGGTACTATGCTCAACAAATTTTAAAACTTCTAGGAAAACACTGAAATATATTTCAAATGCAATAGCAGCATATTCATATAAAGGGGCCAAAATACAAAAAAGTATAATGATGAAAAGCTACACTAGTTGGTACCTAGGAAAGTACTCTGAATAATACGTTAGTAAGCTAACAACCTCCAGTGGCATGTATATGATAGTCCCTGTAACCTCTCCTTTAACTATAAAACACTTCAAGGCAAATACTGCTATTTCCTTTACATAGATGAAAAAAACCCAAAGCAGCTGATTTCTCTGGTTATTTAAAACTGTCTTGAGTATTCAGTGTCTACTAGGTGCCAAAGTCTATATTAGGTGCCAAGTTTAGTATCATGCCATAAAGAATATGGACAAAGTCTTCCTCTCATGGAGTTTATAGTCCATGATAGGAGACATTATTCACATGCTGAAATATACCTTAAAAAATGAGGAAGGAATGATTCTGAAGCCATTTACATCTGAATTTTAGAGGGGGAAAAAAAAATCCAGCCATAGAAACATCTGAGGACCAATATCCTCTGCAGTGAGTGTTATACATGTAATTGCCTCAACAAGACCAATGATTGTCTGATACCTTTAAGAAAGGATACATCAGAGAGTAGATGGGGCAATGGCTAATGAGATTAGTGAGGCAGATGGAAGAACTGTGCAGGGTCTTGGTAAACACCGTAAAGAAATAGGCTCTAAAGGCGGGGGGAAACCATGAGGAAACAGCTAGTGTGAGTTTCAGTAAGGGAGGCGATGTACCAAATTAGGGTAACTGCACACAGTAAGCCAGGACAAGACTGGAGCACAAAACAAAGCCTATACCTTTTAGCCTCTGTGCTAAATAGCAAATAACTGATAGAGCTGACAATGATTTTCACTGCCAAAAAAGCCAGCTAATAATCCCACCAACAAGGAAGTTGTTGGTTATAACCATATGGTAGACTACCAGATAAACATACATGTCTTTCTTAAGTGACTATCAATACAGAAATAGCGCCAATATAGTATTTAAAAAGAAAAAAAATCTATTTTAGTACACCTAATTTTTTAAAAAAGATTAAGACAGTGAAAATTTCTGAAAAGCGAGACAAGGGGTAACAGTGTTACCTCCAAGTTGCCTCTTCAATGAAGACATGTTCCCATTATAAATAGAAACCTTTATTATAAAATTATGAATATAATTAAGCAAAATATATACATACATTAAATAATATGCTTCACATTAACTGTAAATGTGTCATTTTTACAATTTAAAACCAGTTTTAATTTGACATATATTTTAGTTTTATAAACTGGTAGTATCCTACTATCAATACTGAAAAGTCTACAGGTCCTGTCAAAGGTATTAGTTTCCTGTTTCTACCAAATGCCATTCATTGGGATAAAAATGCAATTTAGAATGTTAACATCCAGTGGATTAAAAAAAAAAAAAATTTAACTAAAGAAAATTAAGTCTGACAAGTAAAAGGGGAAAGCAGAGTTAACTTTGAACATACAGAACAAGATAGTCAAAGCCTGCTGTTTTAAGCTAAAAAGCAGACACAAAATATTCTCCACAGGTACTCCAATGTGTTTAAATTAAAATGTGTACTGGTTTTCAAATACATTTTTAAAGTACTAATTTCTCGTTCGTTAATGTGGCGTTAAATGACTTCCAGGCTTAGAAATATTTTAATTTTATTTTTCTCTTAGAATTCTGTGACAAAGATTAGCAAGGCCACCAATTAGAAAATGCATTTTTTACAGTAGGTATTTTGAACACATTGTCAAGAGATGAGAAACCAATTCAAAGTCGTAGAATTAAGAGGTAAATGACTGGACACCAATATGAATTAGTCCAGACAACTTCAGTTAACTGGATTGAAGGAAGTAAGAGAAAGGTAAACCAATAACCTACACCAAATTTTCAGCCTGAGCATGTTACTAGGAATACAAAACCATTACGAAGAGATTTTCAGAAAATAAAATAAATTTTTATTTCATTTTGACTGTGAGATCCCTAAACAAATGGAAACACAGGCCTGGAGTAAGAAGAACTGGATTTTAAAGTAACCAGAGAATAGAGTGGTGATGGTGAGATTCTAGGAGATAGGAAAGATCAAAAAGGAAAGTAATAAAATGGAAAAAAAAACCCCGAACACCTGACAGTGCAGTGTCAGGAGCAAAGGAATGATATGCAAGTTCAAGGGTGGAGAAAGAGCACTGCCACAGAAGCCACGGAAGGTAAAGGAGATGCTCACAATATCAAGCGCTACAGGGCAATTCCAGAGGCTGAAATCTGAGTGAGTGATGGCTGCAGAATCTTGAGAGTGAAGGAGACTATGAACAGAGAAGGAAAATTAAAACAAAATTAGTACTTGAGTATTAGGTTCTTAAAAACAAGAGAAACTGTGAAGACTGTGAAGGGAGACATGGCGACTACCATGAGACCCGGCACAACATGGGATTTGTTAAACCAAACAGATCATGGTGTGATCCACAGTCTACCAATCAAGGTTAAGAGGGCAATACGTTTCAAAACTTGAAGGGCATCAACCACTGTCACAAAAACAGTATTATTAAGGTAGGAGAGCTCAGTCCACAGAGGTTTGACTTGTCAGTAAGTACAGTGGTTCCAAAAGTAAACAACTCTTTTAGAAATTATCACTACTGACAGGCAGAAGAAAAACTGGACATTCGTAGAAAAGCTGAATTTTTTTGTTGTTGTTGTGCAGATTCTCTCTCTTAATGCATGCTTTATGGAATGCCTATAAAAACTGTTGGTTCTCATAAGTAAATGTAATTAAAGGTGTAACAGTTTATTTGAGAAGCAATGACCAGGAGGAGAGGTTTATCACAACTTACTGGTAAGAAGGTAGAGAAAACAGAAAATTCCAGCAGGGGAAAGGTAAGACGTGGCGATAAAAGGACCTGGGGATCTGGAAGGGTTAAGAAGTCACAACAGGCCCTCCCTGGTGGCGCAGCGGGTTAAAGAACAGCACTAAGAAGCTTAAGCTACTTCTGCATGAGTTTGATTCCCCACCTGCCCCAGAGGTGACCACATGGTGTGGCAGACCTCTCCTGACCGGCCGCTGCTCCCCTCAGCAATGTACTTTGTCGATCTGCCTGTTCTGTTCCCCACTCTG